ATCCTGGCTAATAACGGTGGAACCCCTTCTTTTCTTTTCTTTTCTTTTTATTTTTATTTTTTGAGATGGAGTCTCGCTCTCACCCAGGCTGGAGTGCAGTGGCGTGATCTCAGCTCACTGATATAGATATAAAACCTCTGCCTCCTGGGTTCAAGCGATTCTCCTGCCTCAGCCTCTTGAGTAGCTGGGATTACAGCTGCGTGCCCCCACCTGACTAATTTATTTTATTTTATTATTATTATTATTTTTTATGAGATGGAGTCTTGCACTGTCACCCAGGATGGAGTGCAGTGGCGTGATCTCAGCTCACTGATATAGATATAAAACCTCTGCCTCCTGGGTTCAAGCGATTCTCTTGCCTCAGCCTCTTGAGTAGCTGGGATTACAGCTGCGTGCCACCACCTGACTAATTTATTTTATTTTATTTTATTTTATTTTTTTTTTTGTGAGATGGAGTCTTGCACTGTCACCCAGGCTGGAGTGCAGTGGCGCAATCTCGGCTCACTGCAACCTCTGCCTCCCAGGTTCGCGCCATTCTCCTGCCTCAGCCTCCCGAGTAGCTGGGACTACAGGCGCCCACCACCACACCCTGCTAATTTTTTGTATTTTTACTAGAGATGGGGTTTCACCGTGTTAGCCAGGATGGTCTTGATCTCCTGACCTCGTGATCTGCCCACCTCGGCCTTCCAAAGTGCTGGGATTACAGGCGTGAGCCACCGCGCCCGGTCACCACCCAGCTAATTTTTTTATATTTTTGGTAGAGATGGAGTTTCACCATGTTGGCCAGGCTGGTCTTGAACTCCTGACCTCAAGTAATCCACCTGCCTAGGCCTCCCAAAGAGCTGGGATTATAGGCGTGAACCACCAAGCCCAACCATGAGGCAGGCTTTTCAGGTTGGAAACTCAATTCATTCACTTTTATTTCCCCCCATCCTCCCACACACCTTGTTTTCTTATCAATGCAATTAAGATATAAATTTTCCACTGGGTTATGCTTTGATTACATTCCATAGATTTTCCTATATATAATTTTCATTTCTAATTAATTCATAATTTCTACTTAATTGCTTTAATTTCTCCTTTGCCTCAAATATTTGGAAATTTAATTTTAAATTCTCAAGAAACAAGGTTTTCTTTCTTTCTTTTTTTTTTTTTTGAGATGCAGTCTCACTCTGTAGCCCAAGCTAGAGCACAGTGGTGCTCGGCCAACTGCAACCTCTGTCTCCCCAGCTCAAGTGATTCTTGTGCCTCAGCCTCCTGAGTAGCTGGGACTATAGGCACGTGTCACCACGCCTGGCTAATTTTTTGTATTTTAGTAGAGACGGTATTTCACCGTATTGCCCAGGGTGGTCTTGAACTCCTGAGTTCAGGTGATCCACCGGCCTCGGCCTCCCAAAGTGCTGGGATTACAGGTGTAAGCCACTGTGCCCAGCCTTTTTTTTTTTTTTTTTTAAAGATAGGGTCTCACTCTGTTGCCCAGGCTACAGTGCAGTGGCACAATTATGGCTCACTGCAGCCTTGACCTCCCGGGCTCAAGTGATCCTCCCATCTCAGCCTCCCCAGTAGCTGGGACTACAGGTGTGAAACACCATACCAAGGTAATTTTTGTATTTTTTTGTAGAGACGAGGTTTTGCCATGTTGCCCAGGCTGGCCTCAAACTCCTGGGCTCAAGCAATCCACCTATCTTGGCCTCCCAAAGTGCTGGGATTACAGGCATGTGCCACTCTGCCTGGCGTTGATACCTTTTTGTGGTTAAATATGTGGTCAGTTTTGGGGAATATTTTATGTGTGTGACAAAAATTTTGTATGTTCATTGATACAAAGTTTGACATGTTTATTAGACTAAGCTTCTTAATTGTGCTGTGAAAATCACTATATATTTACTCCTTTTCTCCTAGATTTTTGTTTTGTTTTGTTTTGTCTTTGAGATAGAGTCTCACTTTGTCACTTTGTCTTTGAGATAGAGTCTCACTTTGTCGCCCAGCCTAGAGTACAGTGGCACGATCTCGGCTCACTGCAACCTCTGCTTCCCGGATTCAAGTGATTTTCCTGCTTCAGCCTTCCAAGTAGCTGGGATTACAGGCGCCCACCACCATGCCCAGCTAATTTTTGTATTTTCAGTAGAGATGGGGTTTCACCATGTTGGCCAGGTTGGTCTCAAACTCCTGACCCCAAGTGATCTGCCCACCTTGGAATCCCAAAGTGTTGGGATTACAGGCGTGAGCCACGATGCCCAGCCTCTCCTTGATTTTTGAAAGCAGTGTATTAAAGCCCCTCATCATTATGGTCAGTTTTTCAATTTCTCCTTTGTGTGTTTCAAAGCAATGTTAGGGACATAAAAATTCATAATTATTATATCTTTGTTTAAAATCCTTTTTGACTGTAACTGTAGGGAGAGAATAAAGTGTTGTCCATACCATTTCCAGCCACAGGAAGGATGACAAGAGGTGCAGCTGTTCATCCTGCCAAAAGAATTTCCTATTTCCATCGTGTTGCCAGTAAGAAGTCTGTTCATCTCCCCCACTTCCCATGCTTGTTTACCAACTCCCGAGGTATGTAAAGGGGATATGTGATCAAGGACAAAAGCTCTATCAAAACAGACGTATTAGGCTGTGGACAGGAGAGTTCATAGCAGGGCGGGAGTAAAGTAGTCCTTCTCATCCTTGGCTGTATATGAGAATAACTCGGAAAGCTTGAAAATGTTGATGTGGCTGGGTGCGGTGGCTCATGCCTATAATCCCAGCACTTTGGGAGGCCGAGACAGGCAGATCACTTGAGGTCAGGAGTTTGAGACCAGCTTGGCCAACATGGTGAAATTCTGTCTCTACTCAAAATACAAAAATTAGCCGGGCGTTGTGATGCATGCCTGAAATCCCAGCTACTCGGGAGGCTGAGGCAGGAGAATCGCTTGAGCCCAGGAGGTGGAGGTTGCAGTGAGCCAAGATCATGCCATTGCACTCCAGCCTGGGCAAGAGTGAGACTCCATCTCAAAAAAACAAAAACAAAAACAAAACAAAAACGATGCTTGGGTTTCATCCAATCAGAACCTCTGGGATTAGAACCTGGTCACTGGTATGTAGCCAGAGTGAGAAGAAAAGATTCTCTTCCACGTGCTGCTATACCTCACCCTGCTGCACTGGACAGAGCTTCTTTGAGATCCCCATGCCAGGCAAATGCCATCCAGCAGTGGTGGAGGAAGCAGAAATCTGGCTAAGGGCTTTGGGGGACCACCTTGCCAGGGGCTGGGAAAAGGTTAAGGACACCAAGGAGGGCTAGAGGGGTCAGCACTCACCACATCTGGGATCGCAGACGTCGTGAAGGAGATGTTGACTCGGGTGGGGACGCTGATGGTGACCGGTCGGAAGGCCTTTCTATTAAACACTGAATTCAGAGCAGTGGGATCTGCCCCGTGCTGGCCAAACCCTGAGCACTTGATGGTGAAAGTAACGCCCCTTCCTGTAGTGGACATCGAATGTGTGAGATGAAGGAGAGCAACCCTGTGCGCCCTATATGAGAGGGGCCCCAAGGCAGGGCCTGGGGTCGCCTGTGATAAAATGAGAGCTAACATTTGTTGAGCATTGGCTATGTGTCAGGTATATTCTAAGCTCTTTAAAAATGGATTACCTCATTTAATCCTCCCAATCCCCATCAGATAGATACTGCTTTACCCTCATGTAATAAATGAGCTAACTAAGGTGCAATAAGGGGAAGTAACTTCCTACAGTCAGACAGCCAATAAAAGGCAGAAGCCAGATTTGTTCTGAACCCAGGTTTATCTGCTGCTGCTGTACTATATGTCCCCAGGGATGAGATGAAGAATGGGGAGGGGATCACCGAGAGGGGTCCAGACGCTGGGCTCTTCCTTCCGAGGCCTGGGAGGATGGGGTGAGCTGGAATGCAAATTCTGGAAGCTAATGTGGCAAGCTGAGTTAGAGCTCCAACCTCCTTTCCAATATTTCTGTCTCCATGCAAACCATGCCCAAATCTGTATGCAAACTGAGCCTGGAATGTTGATAGTCATCTGATAGGATTACAGTCCCGGGGCCCCCGAGAGGACACACCTGTTTTCACCCTGACTGCCCCAACCTTCCTTCTCCTTATTTGACTTTACCCAACTCTATCACCAGCATTCTAGTTTGAGGCTTTTAAAAAGTTGTGTTTTATTTTTAATGAACATATAATAATTGTGCATATTTCTTAGTTTGGGATTTTTGGTTTTTTTTTTTGAGACAGCTACTCACTCTACTGTCCAGGCTGGAGTGCAGTGGCACAATCACTGTAGCCTCGGCCTCTGGGCTTAGGGGATTTTCCCACCTCAGCCTCCCAAGTAACTGTGACTACAGGCACTCCCCCCACACTTGGCTAATTTTTAAACATTTTTTTTTTTTGTAGAGACGGGGGTCTCACTATGTTGCCCAGGCTGGTCTGAAACCCCTGGGCTCAAGTGATTCTCCCACTTGGGCCTCCCAAAGTTCTGGAATTATAGGTGTGAGCCACCATGCCGAGCCAAATAGCTATTTTTAGAAGTGTGGGTGGGCTTTTTTTAATTATTATTTCTTTTTAAAATTTTAAAATTTTGTTTAGATGACTCTCACTCTGTCGCCCAGGCTGGAGTGCAGTGGCGTGATCTTGGCTCACTGCAATCTCTGCCTCCCAGGTTCGACCAATTCTTCTGCCTCAGCCTCCCAAGTAACTGGGATTACAGGCATCGCCACCACATCAGGCTAGTTTTTGTATTTTTAGTAGAGATGGAGTTTCACCATGTTAGCCAGGCTGGTCTTGAACTCCTAACCTCAGGTGATCCACCTGCCTCAGCCTCCTAAAGTGCTGAGATTACAGGTGTGAGCCACCTCACCTGGCCCATCTTACCCTCTTCTAACTAATACATTTTTAAATTTTCTACTCGTGAAAATGTGTTGGAGGAGCAAGAACTTGGAATGAGAGAGATGATTGATAACCTCTGTGCCAAGGACATTGAGCCTTATCCATTCTCAACGTCACAGTGCTTTCCAGGCAAATTCTTAAACCACTCTAAGAACAGTGAATATTCATTTGTCAACCCCTGTGTGCAAGTGCCCAGAGGGGCTTTCATAACCATTTACACTGCCTAGACCAGGTGTACAGTTTGTGTCTCTTCCCTATGCTGGCCTTTAAAGTCACCTCTGGTTCAGTCCTCTCCTGTGCCTCCTTATCCAAAGTCATGGAATAATCTAAGGAGGAGAGATGACATTTATTGGCACTCTTACCAAGTGCCAGGCACTGTGCTTCCCTCCATCTCTTACTGAATCCTCACAACCCTGCAAAGTAGGTTCTGTTTTACAGATGAGGAAACCGTAGCTCAGAGAAGTTAAGCAGTGTATCCAAGTTTATAAAACTAGCAACGTGAGACACGAAGATTCAAACCCAGGTCCATCTGTCTCCAAATCCCATGTTCTTGTCTCTCTGCCATACTGACTCCCTGGAAGAGAAGCACATTCTACTTTCACCCTTGACCTGCTGCCTTCTGGCATCTTACCTAATCTAGAGCCCTTGGATCCAGTAGGTGGTTGGGGAAATTATGGCTAAAGGAGGTGGGCACTTTGCTACAATGGTTTGGGTTTCATACCTGTAGAGAGAAAGAATTACACCTGTGGACAGAAAGACGGATGGATATAGAAGCTAAATACAAGAGAAGACAATCGTGGATGGTTGTCTCCCATGTAGAGTACCAATGGGGAAAAGACAGACTTTTCAAGTAGTGTTGGGAAAACTGGATATCCATACGCAAATGGATAAAGTGTGCTGGTGTTGAACTCTATTTTTCCAGAAGAAAAATAAAAGTGCTCTTGTGTGGCATGTAACTGGAAGGGGATTTTCTGTCTTTCAGAAAAGGAAAGTCTATGTGGGCATTATGGTAATGTAGCTATGAAAGAACTCTATCCATCTTAGACAATCTCTAGGAGGTGGAAATTTGAAAAAAGTTCCTAAATGTTCTACTAGGGAGAGGTCCTCCTTCTTCCCCCTTCCCCCATTGTTGCTCCTTTCTTACCTTGAAGCAGAAGGCTGAGAAGGAGGTAGAAGGAAAATATTTTCCTGTGGAACCAGCTTCCTTCCATCTTCGTTGTCTAAATTCTTCTCTGAACATGTACTGGGACCCACGAATGCCCAGATTAAAGCAGCACAGGCCATACCTAGAGCCCGACTTTGAATACTAATAGCATTGGTTGACCACTGACATTTGTAACCTTCCTGGAAAGTGTTCTGGTTGTCTTGTTCTTGCCTATGTTTGAGGTTCAGTCTGCTTTTGAGACTTTATCTTAGTCTTAGATACTTTACTACAACGTATATGGTTATAGATAGCTCATATGTGATCAGCGTGCAGATCTTGGTGAGATACTTCAGTCTGAAAACTCGTCTCTTCAATTCTGGAAAATTCTCAGACATTTATAAATATTTCACTTCCTCTATTTTTCTTATTAGACATGTGTTGAATGGTTTCCTTCTATCTTACATGCCTCTTATTGCTGTGGTAACAAATCACAAACCCAGTGGCTTAAATAAGCACAATTTGTTATTTTACTGTTCTGTGGGCCAGAAGTTTGAAATGGGTTTTACTGGGCTAAAATGAATGTGTCAGCAGGACCACATTCCTTCTGGAGGTTCTAGAGGAGAATCCATTTCTTTGCCTTTTCCAGATTTTTTTTTTTTTTTTTTTTTGAGACAGGGTTTCACTCTGTCGACCAGGCTGGAGTGCAGCGGTGCAATCGTAACTCACCGCAGCCTTGGCCTCCTGGGCTCAAGGGATCTTTCAGTCTCAGTCTCCCAAGTAGCTGGGACCTCACAGGTGTGAGCCACGAAGCTTGGCTATTTTTTTTTTTTTTTGAAGTAGAAATGAGGTCTCACTTTGTTGCCTAGCCTGGTCTCCAACTCCTGGCCTCAAGTGATCCTCCAACCTTGATCTCCCAAAGTGCTGGGATTATAGACGTGAGCCATTGCACCCAGCCTTTTCCAGCTTTTAAACTGCCTGTATTTCTTGGTTCATTATTTTTACTTCTCCATCTTCAAAACCAGCAACATCAGGCCAATGTTTCTCACAAGGCATCTCATCTCATCTTATTTGTTTCTCTCTCCTTCTTCCGCTTATAAGAGCCTTTGTGATTGCATTGTGTTCATTTGGATAATCCAGGATAATCTCCCGATCTCAAAGTCAGCTAATTAACAACCTTAATTTCGTCTGCAACTTTAACTCCCCTTTTCCATATAACCTAAGGTTCCAGAGATTAGGATGTGGACAAATTCTGGGGGACATTATTCTGCCTAGCACACTTCTCTTTCCTACTTTCTACCTCTTTATCTCTGTCCCTAAAGATTTCTTCAGATCTAGCTTCCAGGAAAAAAATTCTCTCCTCAACTGTGTTTACTTTATTTTATTCTATTAATTAATTAATTTATTTTTGAGGCAACTCAGTAATTTTTATTGTAACTGGAAGACAATACATTGCAGAAACTTTATGGTAGGTCTGGGAAAAAGTGTTATTTACAATAGATGATGACATAATTTGTCTTTGGCAATATAATTACATATGAAGAATGCAAAATGCAGGTATGGGTGCCTTCCATATTTTATTTTGTTTTGAGACGGAGTCTCACTCTGTTGCCCAGGCTAGAGTGCAATGGCGTGATCTTGGCTCACTACAGCCTCTACCTCCTTGGTTTGAGTGATTCTCCTGCCTCAGCCTCCTGAGTAGCTGGGACTACAGGCTTGTGCCACCACATCCAGCTAATTTTTTGTATTTTTAGTAGAGACAGGGTTTCACCATGTTGCCCAGGATGGTCTTGAACTCCTCACCTCAGCTGATCTGCCCACCTCAGCCTCCCAAAGTTCTGGGGTTACAGAAGTGAGCCACTGTGGCTGACCCTCAACTGTGTCTAATCTGTCCATCTAATCTGGCCACTGAGTTTTGGGGGGTTTTTTTGTTTTTTTGTTTTGTTTTGTTTTGTTTTTTAGAGACAGGGTTTCACTGTCTCCTACCATGCCTGGCCCTCAACTGTGAGCCATCATGCTGGGATTACAGACGTGAGCCACCGTGCCCGGCCCTCAGCTGTGTCTAATCTGTCCATCTAATCTGTCCATTGAGTTTTGCTTTTGTTTTGTTTCTTTTTAGAGACAGGGTCTCACTGTCTCCCAGGCTGGAGTGTAGTGGTATGATCATAGCTCACTGTAGCCTTGAATTCCTGGGCTCAGGCAATCCTGCCACCTCAGCCTCCCAAGTAGCTGGGACTACAGGTGCATGCCACCATGTGTCGCTAATTTTTTTTTTATCGTTTCTAGAGACAGGGCCTTGCTATGCTGCTCAGGCTGGTGTGAACTCTTGGCCTCAAGTGATCCTCCTGCCTCAGCCTCCCAAAGCACTGGAATTATAGGCATGAGCCACTATGGCTAACCTTTTACCCATTTTTAAATCAAGTTGTTTTTTGTTGTTGAGTTTCAGGAATTCTATGTATAGTTTGGATATTAATCCCTTATCAGCTATATAATTGTCAAATGTTTTCTCCCATTTTGTGGGTTGTCTTTTTTCCTCTGTTAATATTGTCTTTTGATTCATAGATTTTTAATATTTTCATGAAGTACTATTTGTCTATTTTTTCTTTTGTTGCCTATGCCTTTGTGTCATATCCAAGAAATTACTGCTAAATCCAATGTTGTGAAGCGTTTCCCCTATGTGTTCTTTTAGGAGTTTTATTATTTTAGGTCTACACTTAAATCTTTTTTTTTTTTTGAGATGGAGTTTCACTCTTGTTGCTCAGGCTGAGTGCAATGGTGCGATCTCAGCTCACTGCAACCTCCACCTCCCGGGTTCAAGTGATTTCCCTTGCCTTTAGGCCTGTCGGTAGCTGGGATTTAACAGGCATGTGCCACTATGCCCAGGCTAATTTGTATTTTTATAGAGACAGGGTTTCTCCATGTTAGTCAGGCTGGTTTTTGAACTCCCACCTCAGGTGATCTGCCTGCCTCGGCCTCCCAAAGTGCTGGGATTACAGGTGTAGCCACCGTGGCCCAGCCTGTGGTATGTTTTGGAAATCAGGGGTGTGATCTTCCAGCTTCATTTTTCTTTTTAAAGATTGTTTCAGGTATTCAAGGTCCTTTGGACATCCCATATGAATTTTAGGATGGGTTTTCTTTTCTGCAAAAATTGGCATTTGGATTTTGATAGGAATTGCATTTGAGTCTGTTCATGCTTTAAGTAGTATTGACATTTTAACAATTTTTGTGTCTTCCAATCCAAAACATGAGATGTGTTGTTCCCACTTGTTTATATTTTTAACAATTTCTTTCAGCAATGTTTATAGTTTTCATTGTACAAGAATTTTACTTCTTTGGCTAAATTAATTCCCAAGTATTTTTTTTCCTTTTGATGCCATTGTAAATGGAATTGATTTTTGTAATTTTTCTTTTCTGATCATTCTTTGTTAATGTATAGAAATGCAAGTGATTTTTTGTTTGTTTGCTTTGTATCCTGATACTTTGCTAAATTCATGTATTAGTTTTTAAATGTACTAGTTTTTGGAGATCTTTAGTATTTTCTACATTAAAATCCCATCATCTGCAAACAGATAATTTTACTCTTTCTTTTCCAATTTGGATGCCTTTTTGTTTCTTTTTCTTGCTTACTTGCTCTGGCTAGAACTTTACTATGTGGTTTTTAGTTTGTTTAGCTTGTTGTTTTAGAGATGGGGTCTTTCTCTGATTACAGGGCAGTAGTGTGTCCCAAAATGTTGAGATTACAGGTGTGAGCACTGCACCTGGGCCAACTATGTTTTTTGTTTTTTTGAGACAGAGTCTCGGCTCTGTCGCCCAGGCTGGAGTGCAGTGGCCGGATCTCAGGCTCACTGCAAGCTCGCCTCCTGGGTTTATGCCATTCCTCCTGCCTCAGGCCTCCCAGTAGCTGGGACTACAGGGCGCCTGCCACCTCGCCAGCTAGTTTTTTGTATTTTTTAGTAGAGATAGGTTTCACGTGGCTTAGCAGGATGGTCTTGATCTCCTGACCTCGTGATCCGCCCGTCTCGGCCTCCCAAAGTGCTGGGATTACAGGCTTGAGCCACCGTGCCCGGCCGAACTATGTTGAATAGAAGTGGTGAAATTGAGCATCTTTGCCTTGTTCTTGATTTTAGAGAGTTTTCAGACTTTCACCATGGAGTGTGATGTTTGCTGTGGGTTTTTCATATATGGCTTTTATTATGTTGAGGTTGTTTCTTTCTATTCCAAGTTTGTTAAGTGTTTTTGTCGTGAAAGGGTGTTGAAGTTTGTCAAATGTTTTTCTGCGTTAATTGAGATGATCATTTTTTTCCCTTCATTCTGTTAATGTGGTGTATTGCATTGATCAATTGTTGTATATTGAACTGTCCTTGCATTCCAGGAATAAATCCCACTTGGCTATGGTATATAATTCTTTTGATATGCTACTGAATTTGTTTGCTAGTATTTTATTGAGGATTTTTGCATCAATGATCATAAGGGATAGTGCCTTTGTCTGGCATTGGTATCAGGGTAATACTGATCTCTTAAATGAGTTAAGAAGTTAGAACATAGTTATTTTATAATCTTTTTCATATTGTTTTATTATATCTAGTTCTTGGTATGCTGACTGTTTTGATAACTGTTTCATTGTGGTTTGTTCCTTCATGTAATTTATAATTCTTGGTTGAAAGGATGAGAATCCGTATCTTTAGATAATTTTGAAATCATCTATTACAATCTTTCAACAAATGTACAGTTGATCCTTGAACACTACTGGGGTTTAGGAACACCAACACCCCGCACAGTCAAAATCTATGTATAACTTTTGACTCCCCTAAAATATAACTACTAATAGCCTACTGTTGTCCAGAATCCTTACTGATAGCATGAACAATTGATTAACACATATTTTGTATATTATGTGTATTATATGCTGTATTCTTATGATAAAGTAAACTGGAGTAAAGACAATGTTATTAAGAGAATCGTAAGGCAGAGAAAATATACTTACTATTAATTAAATGGAAGTAGATCATCATAAAGGTCTTCATCTTTTTCATCTTCATGTAAGTAGGCTGAGGAGAAGAGGTTGGTCTT